AGAAGAATGAAATGATGGCATTTGCCAGTAAATGGACAGAGCTGGAGAGTATCATGCTAAGTGAAATAAGCCAGTCCCCAAAACTAGAAACCAAATGTTTTCTCTGATGTGCAGATACTAATTCACAATAAGTGGTTGGGGAGGGGGGCTAGAGAAAAATAGAGAGGAGTGAAGGGAGGGAAGGAGTGGAAGTAGGAAGGATAGTAGAATGAATTGGACATTAATATTTTATGTACATATATGATTACATTACTGGTATGATTCTGCAACATATACAACTAGAAAAACAAGAAGTTATACTTCATTTATGTATGATGTGTCAACATGCATTCTGTCATGTATTACTAATTAGAACAAATTTTTTTAAAACTAAAAAAAAAGTAAAGTAAAGAAAAGAAAGAAATACTACAGTTTCTTCCATGAAGAACCAGAAGTCAAAATGAAGGACAAACCCAGCCACTGGAATGTAAGTATGTGTTGGAAGGAGGGAAGAAACATTATTCAATAAAAGAGTATTCTAGAAAATGTTAAAGGTAGCCAGAGGAAAATGACCTATAAATACAGGAAACATTGATTTAAATGACTGCTCACTTCTCTTCAGAAATGGAGGAGGCCAGAAGACACTGGAACAAAATTGTCAAAGGGTTGAAAGGGAAAATCTATCAACCAAGAATTCTATATCAAGTGAAATATATTCTTCAAAAATGAAGGTAAAATAAAGACCTTTTCAGACTAGAGAATTTATCATTAACCGTCAGCAGACATGCATAGAAATGTTCAAGGAAGTTCTCAGGGTGATGAGAAATATCAGATTGAAGCTCAGAATATGAGAAAGAAATGAATAGAAACTGAAATTGTAAATATGAAAGATACTATCTACTGTTATTTAATGAAATACATGTGACTTTTAAAAATCATACCAGAGATTCAGATGTAGCTCAGTAGTAGAGCACATGCCTGGATTTGGTCCCCAAAACAACACCTCTCCCTCCAGACAAAAAGAGTATGCTTTTGTTCTGTGGGATTTAAGTATGTAGATGAAACTTATGTGACAACTGTAGTAAAAAGGATGGAGCATTGCAGTAAATTGGCCTATATAGGTACAAGCTTTCTGTGTTTTATATTAAGTAGTATTAACCCTAAGAAGACTATAAAAAGCTTATATTGTTTACATTTAGAGGTAGAGTTAAAATGTCAATAAATATATTAACATGGATTCCTTAAAAAGTTTAAGTAATCGATAGAAGCTAGCAATAAGGAACAAAGGGACACAAAATAGAAAAGACAAATGAAAATCAACACATTAGATCTAAATCTAACCATATCAACAATTATAATAAATTTTAATGAGCTAAATACGTGCTAAATAAAATTTAGAGATTATCATAAAGAAATAATAAAAAGGCTCAATTATTGCTTTTTATAAGGGTTTATTTAAATGTACAGCTATGGAGAAAAAGAAAGTAAATTAATTAGAAATTATATTATGTAAACAGTAAACATAAGACGGTGAAGGACTGGGGTTGTGGCTCAGTGGTAGAGCACTTGCTTGGCACATGTGAGGCACTGGGTTCAATACTTAGCACCATCTAAAATAAATAAATAAAAAATAAAAAGGAGGGTATAAAAAAAACCAAGGTGAAAGAGCAGACCCATTATTAATATCAGATAAAATAAAACTTCAAGACAAAATACAACCAGAGATAAAAGAGGATATGATAAATGATAAATGTTCCATTCATAAGAAAGAAAAAGTTATATGTATACTTAGTAACAGATCTTTAAAATACATGAAGCAAAAGTTGATAGAATTAAAAAGAAGCATATGATTTTATTATCCCTCAGATATCAACACCCTTCCCTTATAATTTGATAGAATATCTAGGCAATTTCAGTAAAGGGATAAATAATCTGAACAACAATATCAACCACCCGGGCCAAAATACATATTAATTTCAAATGTACATGTTATGGTCACCAAAAAAAAGAAGAAAAAAGGAAATAAACTACACAAAGTATGTTTTCTGATCACAATGAAATTAAATAAGAAATCAGTAACAGATATCTAAGAATTTCATGGAGGAAAATCAAAAGAATATGAAAACTTACTAAGGGATGCCTTGAAAAGATAGTGTTAAAACTTTCATCAAAATATTATTAAATGGAAAATATTTATAAAGATAATATAAAGGACAGCAATTATTATTAAATGTCCAAACCCCAATTTTGGATAATAATAAAATCTTACAAAGTAAACCTTAAGTGTGAAGATTCTCAAAAATAGGGAAAGCAGGAAATAAATAATAGATTATTTAGCACTTATGGTCGTAGTCCACATTTTTAGGAAAGATAAACACTGGTTATTTAGAAACCTGTTTATACTGAGAAAAAGAAGCTTTACAAATTCTGTTCTTGGTCAACTTGGGGAACCCAGAATACTCACTTCAACTATTTGTATTGCAGTTTCCTGTTATCCCTGTTATTGTAGCTTCCTGTTATTCATACCAACCTAGATCATGGCCTTTTAGAATAATTAATGATTTAATAATCTGAAACCATTTGGGGTAATTTGAGAAGATGGTTCATTCAGGGTTTATGTCTTAGAGTAGTAATACTGGACAATCAGTGGTTAAATTGTGTGCTTTTTCTTGTAGAGCAGAAGTTTTTAAATACAAATCTTATTTGATCATCATCTCTTCTATCTAGTGGTGCAGAAAGCTAACATTTACTCCAAGAAGTCTAAGAAAAGGGAAACTCTAGGGACTAGAGGCACAGACTTTAATCATCTCCTGACTGATAGATGGTCACACAGGTACACAGGTAGTAGTTAAATTCTCATTTTTAGAATATGCTTTTCTCTGCCTGCCCCTAAATGACCTTGTTAGGCAGTTCTTATTAAAAACTACAAAATATGGAAACCTGATTCAATAAATGGTGGCACAATAAGACAGTTCTATGCATAAAAATAAGCAAGGTTTTTATTTTTAATAAAAAATTATTTTAATAATTTAATTTTAATAAGAAATTTTTTTGTATTTATTTCTTAGTTGTAGTTGAACACAATATCTTTATTTTATGTATTTATTTTTATGTGGTGCTGAGGATCAAACCCAGGGCCTTGCACCTGCTAGCTGAACATTCCACCACTGAGCCACAACCTAGGCCCTGGAAAACTTATTTTTAAAATGCAAGCATAGTTGGAAAATATTTCTTTATTAATGTGCAATCATATTTGGTTGAAATGTATCCAAAAAAACATATTCAAACAAGGTAACTTTCTCGTATTTGTCAAAATACCTGTAATCAGAATAATTTAATTACAGGAAATCCTTTTATTCTGTTTTCATAGTACCATTTTCTCTAAATTTGTTGCAACTTTACAGTTGGTTCTGTAAGTTAGAATGATTTTTTTTACTCTACTAGACTGACTGTAAGTTATAAAGGCAGATATCATGTTTGTTTGCTTATAATATTTTGAACAATTAGCATAGTGGCTGGCTCAAAATAACTTTAATAGAAAAATTTTAATGATTACATTGTATTCTTCTAGCCCTGTCCATCTCTCCTCATCCATACATAAAACATCATTAGAAAGTGATATAAATTAGATCAATTTAGCCATTACATACTTCAAAACAAAATGTACAGAGTAGGTAAAAATTAAAGTGAATCCTGTTTCATGTAAATAAAAAAGTGGCATAAAGACTAGATTTAGATAATACATATTAAGGTCTTCATAAACAGCAAACTGTTTTGCAAATCTCATTATCTTATTTTTATGTTCCTTACCCCCTTTAACTCTTTCAATCTTCACTAAAATTTCTTCTAATTCCATTCCTTTCTCCACCTTTCTTTTGCTGTGTCCATTTTTCTATATCTTATTTTCTCCCTTCATGTTCATTTTCTTCCACTCAGTCCTCTTTCCTGTAAGGGTGATGCTGCTAATGATGATGACAATAAGGATGATGATGAGGATTATCACCACCAACAGATGAGTACTAGGGGTGATACTTCATTAGTATTATGAGGGTGGTCTCACCACACCCAGAGATGAAGTATACATGGTTGATTCCTAAAATCTGTGAAATCATTTATCTTTGCCCTTGGTAGTTTCTCTACATTTTATATTATTTAATATTCATGTCTTTATCTCTTTTAAAAATAAAAGAATGAAGAAAATAATCTCATTCACTCAAACCAAAACAGTAAATCTGTCAGTGGATAAAATTATAACCTAAATTTTTCAAGAATCAAAATGCATCATGAATTTATATTAGTATAAGCAATTTAAATTCTGCAAGATAAATAAACCAAATTTAAGATTAGAGAATATTTTCCATAACTCATTTGATATCAATATTTGTGCTTCTTTTCACTTACTTGAAAATTAGAATTCCTAAAGATATTAACATTCATGGGTAAGTGAATAAATTAATGAATTACATAATACATACATGTATTAATTATAAAATAGAAACACCAATATGCTTACTATGTGGTTTTACATTTTTTTTTGTCTTCAATGCGTATCTCCTAGAAATATGAACTCAGGTTTATATTTCTGAGTTTATATTTCAAGTTTATATTTACTGAGTTTTCAAGTTACTTGAAAGATTTCTTCTCTGTTTGACTAAACCACCAAATATAGTTATTTGAGTTTGTTTCATTTGGGTTATTTTTAAAGAAAATCTCTTCTTCTTTTTCTTTTTGTTACTTTGACCTAGGCTAATTATCTACACCATTTTTTGGGGGGAGGGGGGTGTTGGGGACTGAACACATGGATTTATGCAAGCCCTCTACCAATTGTGCTATATTTCCAGCCCCTATCTATACCTTCTTTATATAAACCTTTTTAAAAGATTTATTGAGTCATATAACTTACAATCTACCCAGTAAAGTATGCAATATCAATTTCCAGTACCACAAAATAATGTGTACAACAAAATAATTGTTAGACTATTCATATTTTTTTTCATCCATTACTACAAACTTAAGTTTAGATGATTTTCCTCTAAAATACATAAAGACTCAGCCCTGGCTGCTGCCACAGCCCCTGTTGCTGCTAGTGCTGCTAGTGCTGCCACAAACCAGAGGTCTATTCTCAGGGTGCCACTGCCACCACCACCCAGTCACTGCCCAGAGGTCCACTGCCATCTCCATCTCGGGGTGCAGCCACCTCCATATAGGGACACCAGCCAGTGCCTGGAGGTCCAGTGTCAGGGTCCCTGAAGGTTTGGCTGCACCTGAGATCTTCCTGTTGGAAGTGCTATTGGCTGTCATCTGGTTGCTTGTTCACTTTTGTGTGAGTGCATTCTTGGTGGTCTCCCTGCAAGTTGGAACAGCACTGAGATCTTGGGAATGCAGCATGGCCAATCCTGGAGTATCTGAAGCCCAGATCCATCAGATAGTGACTAGGTCTGTGTGGGCCCATCTGGGCCTGGCAATCCCATGAAAAGACAGAGATAATACTCTGTATTCACAATCAGATCATAATGGAATGAAATTAGAAATCAACAATAAAATAAAAAATAGAAGCTACTCTAACAAATGGAGACTAAATGATACACTACTGAATGATGAATGAGTAACATCACCAACTCAATAGACATTTGGCACTGTTGTGGTAATGGTTTGTGCACTGTGTTGCCTTGACAAATCATTGTGGGAATGTCAAGAGTCATTCCTGGGCTGTGTGTGGACTAGATTGGCATTGAAGCCTAGTGAATAGGAGAATCTGATGTCTGGGAACTTCCAGTGGAAATTTCCTCTGGCTAAGACTGCCCAGACAGATTATGAACTCTATTCAAGCTCTGCTAGTCCCACATAGCACCAGAGATGGGGTGACTTGCTGCAGTTACATAGCCTCTCTGAGATGGGTGACTTGCCAAGACACCATGAAGCAAGACTCCATCCCTGAAATCTTATCTTGCCTTTGAGGTACCCCCTTAAATAAACCATTGGAGCCATTTTCTAACTGTCTAGCTCCAGATCCTGTGTGGACTAGACCTATCAGGTGCTCCATCCTTTTAAACTATTTTTACAACTTTTTTTTGTTCTTCACTAATTATTTTAGACTTTAATTTCTTAGGTGGCTTACATCATCCTGAGCAGGAAGAAGGACCTTTAGCAGTGCTGGTCATCTCCTCTATGGTAAATTTGTAAATTTTGTGCTTTTAACTATTTGATTTTCTTTCCTTCTTTGACTTATCATAATAAAGAACTCTGAATGCTCAAGGGGATAGAAGAGAAGTAGGTGTCCTCAACAACTACCTCTAAGATTCAAGCAGGTTGGCCCTGGGCAGTTTTCTCATTAGTTACATGTAAATATACTCATGTAGCATTCTCCATTGGGACTTAAACCTCTTCTTGTACAAAATAACATTATTTTTTCTAGATTGAATTTCTAATATCATGATAGGTCTCTGTGCTCAATCATTGAATCTAAGTCAGTTGGTCATAACCCAGCCCCATTTATTTTAAATTATGTTTGCCAAGTTTATTCATAGATCTTCCCAGGCGTTCAAAGATCTGCATTTTTCTCATAAAACTTGTAAAGAATTGGAGTGCAAATTTAAGCTTTGCATACATTTAGATAATGTTTTAATTTATTCTATTTAACAATGTGCATTGCAGAGCTGGAAATAAGCCAGAATATCTTTCATAATTATGACAAAAATCATTTTGTTGTACCAAATTGCTCTCTAGAACATTTCTGTTTGCTCAATGAAAATAACAATTTTTTTCTGAAACAAAAAGCACTCTATTGCAATAAACTTAAATATCTATCACTATTATTTTTCAAATTATATATGTAAGCAAATCTAAGATGCCCCATAACTGGTATTCATTGAACTAGTTAATGTTTATCTCCTAAAAATAAAATTTCTCATTAAATAAAAATATTTGGCAAGATAAAAATGCATCAATCTTAGTTTTGAAGCATTAAAATAAATGTGTATGCTTAAGGTACACAATTTGATACATTTTAACATAAGTATATATACCCCATGAAACCATTAATTCAATCAAAATAATGATAATTTACATCACTCCCTCTGGTCCTTTGTAATCCTTCCTCCCTATTCTTCTCCATACCCTTCCACTGATATCTCATTCCCAAGCAAGGATATATAGCCATTGCCACTATATATTTGTAAAATAAATGTTTTATATAAATCAAATCCTTAAGTACTCTTTTGTGTCTGTTTTTTCCCACTCAGCATTAATGAGATTGACCCATATTGTTGTGTAAATCAATAGTTCATTTCTTATATTGCTGAGCCTATTGTACAATTATGTTTCTTTATCCATGCACCTGTTGAGTATTTGAATTATTTTTAAACTATTACAAATATGATTTTGTGAATATTTGTTACAAATGTTTTTATATAGTAAAAAATTTTCATACTCACATACTTTTTTTTCCCTCTTGGGTAAATAGGAGGAGTGGCTGGGTCATATAATTCACGGACCACATTTCTGAAATTTAGTCTGGTATGTATGTGCATGTATTTTGAGTGGTAATGTCAGATATCTTATGGAAGCTTCAGGATCTTTTAAAAAACTTGTCTTAACTATTCCTCAAAGTGGTTGTAACATTTTAAAAACCTCATCAGTAGTGTATCAGAGTTCCAGTATATCCATGTATTTGTCAATACTTTCTGCAGTCTTTTAAATTTTAGACATTATAGTAGATCTGTAGTATTAACACATCGTGCTTTAACTTTGCATTTACCTAATAACTAATCATGTAGAGCATATTTTAAACATTTATATATCTTTATTGTAGTTTTTTGCTTTCTTACCATTGCACTTATAGAGTTATTTATGTATTTTGGATGTAAGTCCTTTAATAGGTGGTGCATTTTTAATGTTTGCCCCCAGTATGTGGCTTTTAATTTGTACAATGACTGTGTCTTGAAGAGAAATTTTTAATTTTAGTGAAGCTCAAATTTTATGGATTATAGTTTTGGTGTCATATTGTAGAAAATCTTTACTAACGTGAAACCACAAAGATTTTCCCCATTTTTTTCTAGAACTTATAGTTTTAGATTTTTCAATTTAAATTTTTAATTATTTTAATTTACCTTTTCATGTATGGTTTGAGGTATGAGCTATGATTGGACTTCCTCTGTTCCATGATATAATTTTTTTTAATTGGCTTTATTTGTTGACAAGACTACACCCTTCTCTACTAACTACTTCTGAATCATTGTCTAAAATAAGTTCCCCAAATGAGAGAGATGCTTTTAGTTAATATTTTAGTGCATAAAATTTATGGCCTCCCATAAAATTTCCCTGTGTAAACATTAGTTATTTTAATAACTATTCTTAAACATAACAAAGTGATAGATATTTTCCTTGTTTGAGAATAGGGAAAATGTTGGGCTAGAATGTAACATAGCTGCAAAGTGTTTGCCCACATTCTCAGAGCTCTGGGTTTGATCCCCAGTTCCAAAAAAGAAAAGACAAAAAAAAGATGGGGGCAAGGAAAATATGGGGGAAATGAGAAGCAGCAATCTATTCAATGTAGACTTGAGTTCTTTCCCCTCTTTAAATTTTGTTGTTTTACTTTTTGTCTTTATTGATGCAATAATCTGGTAGTTATTGCATCTATCTAAGGTGATGTTAACTAGGGCACTGGGTTCATCACTGTCAATGAGACATAAACTGAGGCATCAAAATCCCTCTTGTGTACAGGCAATATATCTTCAAAAAAATCCAGTCTGATATGGCAGATGGGCATACATATCACAAACCTATGTATACATTTCCTGAATCAGCCATGTACATAAATCCTCTGTGATAATGATAAAACAGAGTTTGCAGACAGAAAATAAGATGCAAAAAATAAGACAAAAAGGATGAAAATGGGGGAGAAAAGGCAGGATTTTGCCTAGTCCTAGAGTATGTATTCCTAGAATATCAGCAATCTCTGATATCACATGCATACTCAACCTTTCACATGAAAAGATCAATCAGCTACCATAAAATACCTAACATACCATTTAGAATGCACACATGCACATGTACCCACACCAGACTAAGTTCTGGGATATAAATATTAAGTTGTGATTCATAAGAAATCCATTCAATTGTCAAGGACAACAAAATTCTACATTAAACTTTAGCAGGTAACTTTGATTTAGGGGAGCCTTTGTCACATTCTATAAGTTATTCATATATAATTTTCCCATTGCACTCAAGTGACTATTTTATAGGGGATAAGAAACAAACAAGAATCAAATGGTGAAAAAACTGAATAATTTTCTTAATTCTATCTGCTAAATGCCTGGTACAAGAGACTCCAGATAAAGAGACTCCATGTAAGTGATATAATTAACTATGTTATGTCATCCACAGGTATGGTATTGCCTGAACTTGTATAACTGATCCAAACTAATTGATTAAGTGTGCTTTTTCTTATCTATAGATTTAATTACCCAAAGTATTTTTCTCCTTAACATGAAAAGCTGAAATTTCATGGCAGGATAAAAATCTTTCGTTATCATTATAAGCCGGTAATAGTAATAAGTTAGCCTAGTATTTTTATTCCTAAATTTGGTCAGATGGTAATAATGTGATTGGAGTAACAACATGTGAGATTCATGAATTTAGTGAGAAAATAGAAAATACCCATAATTTGACTCTGAGGGAAACATACCAGCTAGGAACGTGTGTGTATACATAAACCCAAGCCATATGAATAATTATAACCTTTAAATAAGAAGATAATAAAAACAGTATAATTGTATCCAATGATTTTATTAATAGCCTATGACAAAAATAAGTAGTACATGGCCATTGTCTTTATTTATTCATAAAATACCACCAAATTATCTTTTGCTTTATACAATTTTTTATGTTTTTAAACTTTGCTTACATATAAAACCTCAAATCAAATTTTCTCACCCATAATTACTTCTGAGTCTCTAGATAGTAGAGAAATGTTTAAAAAATAGGGTCATCTCTATCGGGATCATATATATTTAATTCTACAATAATTATTAAATAAAAATTCACAGTTCTTTAATCATATTTAAAAATATCAGTATTACACATTTTAGGACAAGTCAAACGTCCCATTTTGGGTTTTGATCCCAAGTAGTCGTCCCAAGGGCTCTGTCTACATATGGCCAAATGGCCACCTGTTCACACAGGATGTCATTTATTTAGCTCTCTTAAAAATCCAAGTAGGTCACTCCATAATTGATTTGTTATATAGTACATTCGGATAGATTGAATGAATTTTCTTGTTATGTCTATTTGTTTCAACTGCAATAGCTCATGCAATAAGAATATAATTAAAAAGTGAGGAATATTAGTTTGGAATACTTGCCCCAAAGTTTAAAGTTTTTCAACAGAATATTCTAAGTATAAGCTACTTTCAATATTTTTAACTAAACAAAGTCTTGACTGAAAGTTTGTAACAAATTAAAGATCCACCTGCTATTTTGGGAGAAAAATCCCTATTTTTGACTTACATAGGGAATAATTAAAAATCCTAGCATAATACCTACCATGCACCAGGCAATGTTTTATTGTAGGCATTGACTCCTTTATTGTACAACAACCATATAAAATGGATCCAGTTATCATACTCATATGATAGAGATGGAAAACAATGAACCAAGAGGTAAGGTAACATTAAAGTTACACAATAGTAATTAGCAGAGCTAGAATTTAGAATGCAAAAGTCTTCCTTCAGAGCCTGTGCCCTTACCAACTGGGCTATCTTGCCACCCCTTATTATTTTTATTTTCTTCTCATACTTTTTGGTTAAATTTAGATCTCACCTTGGTTTCCAAAGTGGTTTTCATCCCCAATACTCCTCTCTCAAAGTGGCCTCTTTCACACAGCTAGATTGAAATGTGAATTGACCAGAAAAAAATTGAGAAGAAATAACTCAGTGATCAAAAATAGATTTTATAAAGAGGTATTAAAAAGTAAAATTTCAGGGCTGGGGTTATGGCTCAGCAGTAGAGTGCTCGCCTATCATGTGTGAGGCCCTGGGTTTGATTCTCAGCACCACATATAAATAAAGGTATTGTATGGAACTACAACTAAAAAATAAATATTAAAAAAGTAAAATTTCTCAGAATAGAGATAGTAAAAGTACAGGTAAGTAAAAAATGACAGCTTGATTGATTAGTTTTTCCAAACTAAGAGGAAAAAATATCTCTCCAAATTTAATAGAAAATAAAATGGGCAATTTAATGAATTGAGATCCTTAAGACAGATTATTAGGCAACGTGAATCACTATTAACACCAACTACTGGGAAATCATGTTTTAAATGTATATCTGAAGTCCTACAAATGGAAGTTCAAGTGGGAGTACTAAGGTATAGGATTTGCAGTAGGATAGCATTTATTAGTTTTGCAGTCATAGAGTGATAAAGGCTTAACAACTAGCTATAGGTCAGGGGCTTTCTGAGTTGTAGCATTAGCTAATGGATTTCCCATTATGGCCAATTTCAAGCTTCCACCATGACATCACTGAACACAGAGTTTGAAAGTAATGAATAACAGCACACTATTGTATGGTATTTCTCCACATAGATAAAATAGATGTAAATAACCTCAAAACCATACAGGAGAGTAAAATAAATTAAAAATGATGCATTAAGTACTTATAATTTTATTTCTTTGTTATGTAATTTAATTATTAGTAATGGTTATATTGATAGCAACTGAAAATTTAACAATTGGCTTTTGTGAGCCAAATTGAGCTGAATGGAGTATTCTACTGACAACAAAAAATGTTTAGATGATTTTGTAGACCATAATGTCAAAATATAAAAGTCTGCTAAGTTACTCAGGCCTGATATTAAGTCACCCATTAAGAGTAGGACATATCTTCCTTCAAGAAATGATATCTTGACTGTAAACACCAATTACTGACCATGACCTCCCCTATCTTCTAGGCCTGTGAAATAAGGAATGTTCAGTCACCTACAGCATGAACAGATTTGCAATTAACTGTGCTGAATTTCTATTCCTTTTTCTGTACAGGTTCTACTCCATGTTAACTGGGGCAGGTTCCACTCCATGTTAACCTCTTGGCACTGGTTTTGATTGCTTTTTATTTCCTGGAACTTTTTTTCCTTTTTGACATGCTTTCTGAATATTTTTTCATCTTATTTAAGAAGACTTTATCCTGACATATAAGCCAGGGTTTTGATGAATATTTCTCAATTTTTTTAGATTATCTGCAAACAGAACAGCTAACTTGCCTGAGTATGCTGGATAGGAAGGCAAAAAAAATCCTATCCCTGCCAGCAATTTAAACAGACTACCCAAATTTATACTAAGGGCTTTCAAGTTGAAATTTTAAGGTTCTTCTTAGAAGTTGTAAGAATGATTTAATGGGCCCATTTTGTGGAGATTAAATGGTTTCCTACAAATACTGCCTTTACCTAGCTGACCACTTAGCTCTTCTCTCAGGTAATCTCTGATAGCATTAAACAATAATTAGGGGAGCTCACTTTACCAG